AGTATGGAGATCATGAAAAAAAACGGCAAGCACCGGCATGGGGGTTGCACGGGAAGGAAGAAATCTTTCATCTAACTTAGATTTAATAACAGACTCCTGCCTATAGCCACTGGCCACTCAATGCTTAGTTCTGATACAGCTCGAGTGAGAACCTCCATGAGCTCTTCGCTTTCGGGAGTGTTAGGTGGCTTTCGGGAGTGTTTGCAGTACATTACATTACATTACATTTAATCATTTAGCAGACGCTTTTATCCAAAGCGACTTACAAATGAGAACAATAGAAGCAACAATAGAAACTAACAGTAGGACAACAATACGTAAGTGCTATAACCCCTCTCAGTTTAATTTTAGTGCAGTTTTTTTTTTTTTTTATAGAATAGAAGAGAAGAGAAAGTGTTAATTCTACTGAATCAAGTGCTGCCGAAAAAGATATGTCTTCAGCAGTTTCTTGAAAGTGGCTACTGACTCAGAAGCTCTGGTTGAGTTAGGCAGATCATTCCACCAACAGGGAACAGCCATGGTAAAGGTCCGAGAAAGAGATTTTGTGCCTCTTTGAGATGGTACCACAAGACGACATTCGCTAGCAGAGCGCAGGTTTCTGGATGGCACATAAGTCTGAAGTAATGAGTTTAGGTAAGAGGGAGCAGTGCCAGTTGTTGTTCTGTAGGCAAACGTCAGTGCCTTGAATTTAATGCGAGCGGCAACTGGCAACCAGTGCAATTGTGTGAGGAGAGGAGTGACGTGTGCTCTCTTCGGCTCATTGAAGACTACTCTGGCTGCAGCATTCTGGATCAATTGTAGAGGTTTGACAGAGCAAGCTGGAAGACCAGCCAGGAGAGCATTACAATAGTCCAGTCTGGATAAAACAAGTGCTTGGACAAGGAGTTGTGTGGCATGCTCTGTAAGGAAGGGCCTGATCCTCCTAATGTTGTGCAAAGCAAATCTGCAGGACCGGGCAGTTCTAGCAATGTGGTCTGTGAATTTCAACTGATCATCAATTACAACCCCAAGGTTCTTAGCTGACCTTGATGGAGTTATGGATGACGAGCCTAGCTGAATGGAGAAGTTGTGATGAAGTGTTGGGTTGGCCGGGACCACAAGTAGCTCTGTCTTCGCAAGGTTTAGTTGAAGGTGGTGGTCCTTCATCCAGCCAGAAATGTCTGTCAGGCAGGCTGAGATACGAGCAGCTACCGTCGGATCGTCAGGTTGGAATGAGAGGTAGAGTTGCGTGTCATCAGCGTAGCAATGATAGGAAAAGCCATGTTTCTGAATCACGGATCCTAGTGATGTCATGTAGATGGATAAGAGGAGTGGTCCAAGCACTGAGCCCTGAGGCACCCCAGTAGCTAGATGTTGGGTCTTAGATGCCACACCTCTCCACAACACCCTAAAGGACCTACCTGAGAGGTTAGACTCGAACCATTGGAGTGCAGTTCCCGAGATGCCCTTCATCTTTAGGATTGACAGGAGGATTTGGTGGTTAACTGTGTCAAAAGCAGCAGACAGATCCAGCAGGATGAGGACCGAGGATTTGGAAGCTGCTCTTGCCAGTCTCAGAGCTTCAATTACTGAGAGCAGGGCAGTCTCAGTTGAGTGTCCGCTTTTGAAACCAGACTGATTGTCGTCCAAGAGGTTGTTCTGTGTAAGAAAGGAGGAGATCTGGTTGAAAACAACTCGTTCAAGTGTTTTCGCGACAAATGGAAGAAGAGATACCGGTCTGTAACTTGTTAGATGTGCTGGATTTAGATTGTGTTTCTTAAGCAGTGGGGTTACTCGAGCCTGCTTAAAAGCTGTGGGAAAGGTACCAGTGTGAAGAGAGTTGTTTATGATGTGCGTGAGTGTGGGTACAACTGAGGAAGAAATGGCTTGAAGTAGATTAGTGGGGATAGGATCAAGCGGACAGGTAGTAGGGCGATTGGAAAGGAGGAGTTTAGAGACTTCCGCCACTGAAAGTAGAGAGAAGGAGGGTAGAATGTGTGCGTTTGTTGGTAAAATGTGTGTGTCAGTTTGTGGATTGGTAAATTGGCCGCGGATGGTGGTTGTTTTTTCTATAAAGAATGTGGCAAAATCGTCAGCTGTTAGGGTTGATGAAGGAGGAGGAGGAGGAGGGTTAAGAAGAGAGGAGAAGGTTTTGAAAAGCATGCGAGAGTCAGAAGAATTGATAATTTTGTTGTGATAGTAAGCCATTTTAGCAGTAGAGATATTAGCAGAGAAGGAAGAGAGAAGGGATTGATAAAGACCCAGGTCTGTGGAATCTTTCGATTTGCGCCACTTCCTCTCTGCACCCCTGAGTTTAGTACGATGTTCGCGAAGAATATCAGTTAACCAGGGGGCAGAGGGTGTGGCGCGGGCTGGCCTGGAGGAAAGGGGACAGAAGTTGTCCAAGCAGGATGTTAAAGTGGAGAAAAGAGTATCAGTTGCACAGTTAGTATCAAGTGTTGAGAGCTGATCAGGTGGAGGAAGTGTGGATGAGACCAAAGAGGATAGGTGAGAGGGTGAAAGTGAGCGTAGGTTTCGTCGAAAGGTGACCTGTGGAAGTGTGTGTGTTGTGTTCTGAGGCAGGTTGAGGTTGAGAGTGAGGAGGAAGTGATCTGAGGTGTGCAGTGGAGTGACCAGTGTATTGTCCGTAGAGCAGTAGCGCGTGTAGATGAGGTCCAATTGGTTACCTGATTTGTGAGTAGCCACAGTAGATACTCGTTTGAGGTCGAATGATGCAAGCAAGGTGTGGAAATCAGCAGCCTGAGGTTTTTCTAGGTGGATGTTGAAGTCTCCAAGAATTACAAGAGGAGTACCATCTTCTGGGAAGGATGAGAGTAGCACATCAAGCTCCTCCAAAAAACTGCCTAGTTGACCTGGGGGACGATATACAACTACAAAATGGATTTTTATAGGACTAGTGATGGTAATTGAATGTGATTCAAATGAGCTGTTGTCAAATAGAGGTGGTAAAGGATCAAATTTCCAGTCATTTGAGATGAGCAGACCAGTACCACCACCCCTTCCGGTCAGACGGGGGGTGTGTGAGAAAGTGAAGTTAATGGAGAGGGCAGCAGGTGTGACAGTGTCCTCTGGTCTGATCCAGGTCTCAGTCAGGGCCAATAGACTGAGACCTGAATGACTTGAAAAAGATGTAATGAAATCAGCTTTGTTAACAGTGAACTGGCAGTTCCAGAGACCAATAGGAAAAGAGAATAAAGTATTAGAAGACACCGGAAGGGTACGGAGATTGTTAGGATTGCACCGCCTCTGACGTGTGACGTTTGATTTACGTATGTTAGTAATAGTAGAGATTTGAAAACATATAGTGAAAAGGAGCTTACAAACAGAAAGATTCAAAGAAAAGTGTGTAGAAGAGAAAGGAAACAACAATAAATAAACAAGAAGAATTTAATACTCAAGTGCTTTGTCGGTTCCTTGCTCGGTACTGGTGCCTCAGCCCGGGCGGAAGAAACCGCAGAGCGTGCTTCCAAACCGGGCTGAGACACTGGATCTAACAGGTAAAGGCAGAGATAAGGCAGAGCCCGTCTCTAACCCCGCTGAAAGATCCATTTGCGATCCCCACGATAAGCGTCGCCGCTCAGCCTCGGCAGAAGCGGGACTCGAACCGCGGGGAGCGCGCACCGAGCACTCTCCTCAAAGAGCGCCCGGCGGGAGCGGAGCGCCCATAACAGACGCTCGCAATGCTCGCAGCCAGCCCCCTCGAGAGCTGACTGGGCATGCTGCACTCCCAAACAAACAACACAAAGAACGTGTGTATCCCCGCCCATTAGGTAGCGCGAGCAGGGAGGAACACACTTCTTAAATGCCGTTCGCTCGCCATAGTCTCTCATACAAAATTGTTTGTGTGGTGTAAATGTGATAACTCCTGCCTAGCAAATACTAAAGACAGACACAGTGTTTACATTCAGACAGATTCACATATAGCGCGACTGAAGGCACAGAAGCGGATGTGCTTGTGTTTTTGGGGTGCTTTATAGTTTCCTGGTCGATGACGTCACCCGCCTATGACGTTCCGTCTCTCCATTGGGCTGATTCCATACGTGCTTCATGACGCACAACGCAGGGGCGTTCCCGCAGCGTTTGACGCAGCTCGAAGTTCCCTTGAAAGGGAACCCTATTGCAACTGTTTTATTGAAAGTAAATTCTTTTAAATGTAATTATCTAATCATCTAACAAGATTATCAAGTGTATATATGTTCTTTTATCAATTGTCAGGGTTTGTTTTGTTAGTTCTATGAATGGCTCAGCTAAACAGGCCAATAAGACTATTAACTACCATTATTCATTTTAATTATACTAATGTCTAATTAAATAGTCTACAAATGTATAAAACTGATCAGAGATCAGGTAAAAACCAGAGACACTTGTTAAAAGGTTCTCAGTGAATCCTCATGATTCATGGGTTGACAGAGATCATCGCCCCCAGCGGTGAACCATTGGCATTACGAAGTGTTTCGAAACAGTTATGACGTAATACCTCGTTTACTGAAATCACGTGATTTCATTGCAGTTTGATACACGCTCCGAACCATTGATTCGGAACAAACGATTTGTAAAGGCTTCGAAGCTTTATTTTGAAATTGCCATCACTAACAGTATCGGTATCGGTATCAGCAAGTACCAAAAATGAAAGTATCTATGTATCTGACTTTTTCTGGAAAAAGTGGTATCGTGCATCCCTAGTAAGCAAAGTTAAAAATATAATTTTTTATAAAATAACCAGTATTTTCAGTTTCTTTAATTTTTTAATAAAATTAGGAATAATAAAATGGGTAAAACTCAGGTTACTGAGTTTTGCCTGATGAGTGTGTTCAATGTATTCCATGTATCTCCATCAGGCAAGTTGGGTCAGGCATTTAATATCATCACACAAATTGATACATTTACATTTTTTTATTTTTCAGAACAGTTTCGCCCAGCAAATCACCTGTGTAAGATTAAGGCCCAATTAAAATCACTAACAGTCAGTGTGTATCAGTGATTGTAAAGTAGACTCTTACTGTGCTCTTCTGGTGTTTTTGATCACTGGCAGCAGTCTCATCACTGCTTCATCAGATCTTCTGTATTTCTGCAGTTCAAACTTCTCTTGAGCCTCTTCTGACATCAGGAGCACAAACACCAGACCAGACCACTGAGCAGAGGAGAGATCTGCTGAAAGATATCCTGAGCTCAGATTCTTCTGGATTTCCTCCTCAAAGTCATCTTTCAGTTCACTGAGACAGTAGAAGAGATTGATGGTCCTCTCTACTGATTCCTCATTTTCTATTTTCTTTTTGATATAGTCAACAGTGTCTTTAACGTTCTCTGTTTTCAATTTCAGTTTTGGCAGTAGTTCCTTCAGCTCACTCTGATTGGACTCCAGTGAGAGACCCAGGAGGAACCGGAGGAAAAGGTCCAGGTGTCCGTTCTTGCTTTCTAAAGCCTTGTTGATTGCAGCCTTATGAAGCTGAAACTGTGGCTTTTTGGAGAATTTCTCTGTCATTTTTGGCCAGAATGGCAAAAATGGGTTTGCTTTCTTGTCTTTGTTGTTAAAAAACACATAGATGGCAGCAAGGCATTCTTGTACGCTGAGATGAACGAAGCTGTAAACGCTTCTGGCTGAAACAGTTTCCTCCTGAAAGATCTGAGTGCATAAACCAGAGAACACTGACCCTTCACCAACATCAAGTCCACATTCAACAAGATCTCCTTTGTAGAAAATCAGATTTCCTTTCTCCAACTGTAGGAAGGCCAGTTTCCCAAGCTTTAAAATAAGGTCATTAAAAAAACTGTCAATGTCTTTAAGTTCAGGATCTTTAGGGTACTTCTTTTTCATCTGCTGCATCTGAGAAAGTAAGAAGCTTGTGTACATCCCTGTGAGAGTTGTGGGAGTTTTGTCATTGCTCTCTTGATCCAGTCGACGTCGAAGAACAGTGAGAGAGATCCAGCAGAAGACGGGGATGTGGCACATGATGTACAGGCTCCTGGATTTCTTGATGTGACTGATGATGAGGTTTCCAGCAACCTCAGGACTGCTGTTATTGATGAAGTATTGCTCTTTCTGCTCATTGTTGAATCCTCGCACCTCTGTCACCTGATTAATGAAGTCACGGGGTATCAGACTGGCTGCTGCTGGTCTGGATGTGATCCAGATGAGAGCAGAGGGAACCAGATGTCTCTTGATGAGGCTTGTAACTATCTTACTCACTGTTGTTTTCTCGTGAACATCTGTAAATTTGCCACCATCTTCAAAACTCAAAGGGAAGCGCCATTCATCCAGTCCATCAAAAATGAACAAGACTTTACCATTACCTTTAGGAAGAGAGGGCAGTTCTTTATCATCACTAAAGAAGTGTTTGTGAAGCAGTTCTGTGAGACTGCAGTTCTCTGTAATCAGGTTTAGTTCACGGAATGGCAGAGGAAAAATAAAGGTTATACCCTGATTTTCTTTTCCTTCAGCCCAGTCAAGGATGAATTTATTAACAGAGACAGTTTTTCCCACCCCTGCGATCCCCATCGTCAGTACCTTTGAGTTTTGTTTAAACATGTCATTACACTTGATTGGCTTCTCCTTGGCAGTCGGTCGGTTGTGAGATTCGATCTGTATCACCTCGTGCTCGTTCACTCTTCCTCCAGTCTCATTCTCCACCACATATAAATCAGTGTAGATATCGTTCAGGTTTTTCAGACGACCCGTCTGTGAATTACCAACCAATATCTGCTCGTAGTCCTGTTTTAATTTGTCCTTCAGTGTGCGGCTGGTCTCTGTGTAATCATGAAGAGTAGCTTGTCTTTCATCTGCAGTTGAACCTTTAAAAAAGAGGGGAAAGACAGCGAAGACTAAATGATCATGTTTTTCATAAAGTCTTAATAAAACCTGTTTGTAATTTGTAACCTGGTCTGCAGTTCCCATTACACAAATAACTACAGCACATGTGTGATAAATCTGCACTTCTGCTGTATTCAAATTATTCACACTTTGTCCTGCAATTTGCATGTGTACATTTACTTGTGCATGCTTTCATCACCAGCAGGGTGGATTATTGTAATGGACTCCTCACTGGCCTTCCTAAAAAGACCATAAGACAGTTGCAGCTCATACAGAACGCAGAGCAGAACCAGAACATATGAACACATCACACCAGTCCTCAGGTCTCTACACTGGCTCCCAGTTACATTTAGGATTGATTTTAAAGTATTATTACTGGTAAATGAATCATTCAATGGGCTAGGACCTAAATACATTGCAGATATGCTCACTGAATATAAACCCAACAGATCACTCAGATCATTAGGATCACATCAGTTAGAAATACCAAGGGTTCACTCTAAGCATGGAGAGTCTGCTTTTAGCTATTATGCCAGCCGTAGCTGGAACCAGCTTCCAGAAGAGATCAGATGTGCTCCTACAGTAGTCACATTCAAATCCAGACTCAAAACACATCTGTTTAGCTGTGCATTTACTGAATGAGCACCGTGCCACTGTTCGTCCGACTGTTTTTACTGTAATTTATTTTTTTATTCTAAACTGTTTCTTATTTTGTTTTGATTATTTTAATTTCTTCTATGTAAAGCACTTTGAATTGCCATTGTGTATAAAATGTGCTATATAAATAAACTTGCCTTGCCTTGCCTTGCAATTGTTTACATGCTCATCTTACACTGATTATGCTGAAGTTGACAAGACATGGTGAACTTGACTAATGCTGACTTGAATGCAGTTGGTTTCAGTTTTAAGATTTCTGAATAATTTTCTTTTTTTTTCTTCAAATTCCTTCCAGAACATTTATTGGATTGGCACCATTAGGCTTAACTTCAGGTCATGCTGACGGGCATTATTAAATGCTTTTTGATTAAACATTGACATCTAGCACACCAAACTAGACATAATACTGTAGTAGGCTTAGGTTAGGGTTATTAGGGTTAATTATCGATCTGCCTGCACTGACACCATTATATGAGAACTGAACTGAGCTGGACGATGACATCACTGTTTTCTCTAGAGTGGCTGTATAGATAAATGAACCAAATTAATAACTTTTTACACCAACAATGAACCATCACTGAACTTACTTAAGCTGGACTATGACGCTATTTTCTTCTAGAAACAAACTTTGTTGCATTATTTTCCTGTTATCACTGTAAAGCTGCTTTCAAACAATCTGTATTGGAAAGCGCTATATAAATAAAGGTGAATTGACTTGACATTGAAATGAGCCTTTGCATGTACAAGTTGCTAGCAGAAGGTTTTAATTAAAGGTCCCCTGACATGAAATTTTCACTTTCTGAGGTTTTTTAACATTAATATGAGTTCCCCTAGCCTGTATATGGTCCCCCAGTGGCTAGAAATTTCAATCGGTGTAGAGTAAATGAAAGCTCAGAAGGGCTGATCTTGAATCTGATCTTGATCTTCAAAAGGTTACCTCCCCTTTCTCTGCTTTGCCCGCCCAGAGAATGTGGCTCGCCCATGAGAAAATGAGCTAGGAAGTACGAACGCACGAGCGCGATTTGAGTTTTTCCTCAAGAGATATCATGGCTTGCAAACGAGCGAAGCATGGCAGTTGATCAGTGTTCGGATGTACAAATGAACACAAAAGTATTTTTTAGTTTCTTCATCCGAGCCTCTGAAGAAACAATGGGTTCATTTTATTTCCTCTGGAAATGCGCCACAACTTCCCAAAGTTTTGTTTGGTCCACACATTTCACCGACGACTGTTTCCTCAACTTGGGCCATTACAGAGCTGGCCTCGATGAACGTCTGGAAATAAATCATCGAGCTACCAAGCAACAATTTCTGATGTGTAATTGTTCAAGTTCAGACAGGTAATCTTTCTCTCAAAATCGTTCAATACTATTTATGCATCAGTAAGTCAAGCCAGTGACTAAAATATCAACTTCACATCGTTTCTATTAGTAGGATGAAAATAATCTTATTTAAATTGTGAACAAATTATACAGAAAGCGATCAAAGAACAATCTTTCCACACAGCGCGAATGAAATCAATGACGCACGTTACCAGGGCCGGCGCTCCGCACACGCACATCACGCACTGCGCGTAGGGCACCAAGTGCTTGGGGGGGCACCAAAAAATCTGGGTCGTGAAAAATCATCACAATAGGTTACTAGTATAAATAACAAATAAAATATGTCTAAAGCATGTTAATATACAAAAGCAATACAAAAGTAATATAGGCCTAGACCAAATTAGTCGAGAAAAAGGTGTATCTCCTGTGCCAGTCTCCCTCTGGTGCCCCCCCTTCCCCACCTCCCAGTAGTCTGTTCGATTATGCCTCAATCAATGTCAAATTTGGCAGACACCGACCTCAGACATGGCCTCGAAAAGGCACCAAGAGTCGGGGGCGGAAAAAAGGAAAAAGAAGAGACAGCGGGATGATACTCGCGCGTCGCTTGCAGGTAAGACAATGTTTTAAATAAAAATGTTAGTTTTGTAGCGCGGGCGCCCTTGCGTCGTGTATGCATGTCCAGGGGGCGTCGCTAGTAGTGCAAATGATCCGGGGCTTTTTTAGCCCTGCATGTTTAATCTTTTATTTTAACGGGGGTCCGGGGGTTTCTCGAATTTTGAAACTTGGGCTGTTTAAGATGCAGTTAGTTTGTTTGAGAAGAAAAGGAAGACCGCTTAGATACGTTTTTTCGTTGTTGTTCTATGCGGATAATTTTCAAGAGGTTTATAGGCCAAGGCCCAAGGGCGACATCTGTTGGTGAAACTGCAATTAGAAAGAAAAAAACACACAATCTCAGTGTTTGTATATTTTCATATTCAAAGAGTTGTCAAATTATTAGGGCTGGGAAAATATTAATCGCATCCAAAATAAAAGTTTGTGTCTACATGATATATGTGTGTGTATAATTATTTTGTATATATAAATACACACACATATGCATGTATATATTTAAGAAATATTTGCATGTATATACTGTATTATATATAAATTTAAATATTTTATATATAAATAACAAATATTTCTTAAATACATACATGCAAATATGTATTTATATATATACAAAATAATTATACACAGTACACACATATATCATTCATGTTCCAAATCTGTGTTTTTAGTAATTGTGGTGGTTTTTGGTATTTATAATTTTAACCTTTATATTATTTATTTATTTTCATATTTGGTGCCATTGTAAATGTAAAATGATTTATTTGCAGCAGTTATTTTGGAAGTAAAGAGAACCTAACTAAGAAATTCTGAATGCTTGTTATTCCTTGGGTGGGTGGGTGAGTGAGTGGGTGGGTGGGTGGTTGGGAGTGGGGGGGCACCACCAAGCATTTGTGCTTAGGGCACCCAAATGGCTAGCGCCGGCCCTGCACGTTACACTGCACAACGAAGCTCTTACTGTATGTACATCATCGTGTTTGCACTGGGGAAAGCATTAGAGAGAGTGCAGAAACTGAGTTGCAATGATAAGATCTTCATTCTCGTGATCAACAGACTGTCATCTGCTTGCTCAATGCTCATCACTAGAGGTGGGCAGATCGATACTAATATCGATAATATCGATACCAACGTTGGTATCGGTATTGATCGATACTAACGTGAAAATATCGATACTTAAGTTTCAGTTTCTCTCGTTTTGCGACCTGACCGTGTTTGTCAAAATGCTGCTGCTGTCACAGAGCAGGAGTGCTCTCTGCTCTCCTCCCCCTCTCCTGTGTTGTACCCTCACGTGACTCACCACTAGCGCGCTACTCAGGACTAACCCCACCCCTACCGCTACCACCAGTCAGGCGCGCGCATTTCTAGCCTACACAGCAGCACAGTCAGAGACGGAGAATGGCAGGAGAGAGAAAGAGGAGTGTTGTATGGCTGTATTTTCAGGCTGAAAATGAGACAACAGCGACTTGTACCATTTGTAGAAAGTCTTTAAAATACAGTGGCAATACAACTAATTTGTACAAACACATGAAAAATCACAGACCAGAAAATGCAGAGCTGCAGAAACGGAGAGAGGAGGAGAAAAATCCTCCACACCCACCCCCTGGCCCAGACAGACCCGCGACTCAGAGGCAGAAGTCACTGCCAGAGGCATTTCAGTTTGGCAGAGAATGTCCAGGTAGATAAGAGTGATGAAAGACATATTTTAGTCATCTTCAGCATTAGTTAATAATAATTAATAACTGGTCATTTGTTACTTTAGTCAACAATTATGCTAAGACCTAGAAGTAATACATTAATTCCATTGAAGCGTGTTATTTAAATGAATACATTTACTGGAACTGAAACAAATATACTGAATATAATGTAGATCATATTTGATATAATTACCCTTTTTGTGTTAGCTGTGAAAGGGATACTAGTTTCTATATTTAAACTACACGTTGATGTGCACCTGCACTGCACCAGACTTCATTATTTTTATTATTTCTCTTAGCTGATTCTCCAAGAGCAGTGGATATTACAAGGCGCCAGTGTTGGGAAGGATACTTTCAAAATGTATTTCGTTACAGAATACAGAATACATGCCCAAAAATGTAATTTGTAACGTATTCCGTTACATTACTCAATCTAAGTATTGTATTCTGAATACTTGGATTACTTCCACAAGTAATAACTTACATAATTTCCATTCAACTTTTTGCCTGCAACAATAGAATAATGGCAAACAAATAATAATAATTAAAAAGAGTTTAGCTTTTAACACCTTTTACATGACACAGTTTCTTTTCTTGGCCATTGGTTAAAAGAAAAGTTTTTTTTTACAGAAAAACACTATTTCAGTTAAAAAAAAAAGATTTCAATGCTTCTGATGTTCTCTTGTATAAGCCTACTTTCCTTAT